AAAGAGAAAGAAAAAAAGAGAAAAAGAGAAGAGAAAGAAAATAAAGAAAAAAGAGGAGAGAGAGAGAGAAAAAGGATAGGAGGGAGAGAACCAGACACACACACACACACACACACACACACAGAACCACACGCGCACAAACACAGAGAACCAGACATACAAACACATACCCCCAGAACCAGACATGCAGTTCATACATGCACACAGACACACACAGAATCAGACACACACATGCAGACAGAAATACACAGAACCAGACACACAGCTGCATATGCACACACACAGATACACACAGAGATGCCTATAGAACTAGACATACATGCAGGCACACGCACACAGAACCAAACATGCGTGCACACAGATGCACACAGAATTCACCTTAGTCCCCCTGTAGCCACCCCTCCCAGAGCAGCCACTGCCTGCCCACCCCACACAGATGAGCCTGCAAAGGTATGGTGCTCCCAGCAGGGGAGCCTCTTTCTGGTGAGGGGATTGGGCTCAGAGTGGGTGGCAGCGGAGCAGCAGGGGCCTAGGCAGCAGTGGAGGGGTGGCTATGGAGGGGAGGGGACTAAGGCAAATTTTGGGGTGGCTATAGGCCCCCCCAAGCCCACCCTAGTGCCTCCCCTGTGGGTTCCTGAGCCCCAGCTGGGCTTTGTGCCAGTGGCAGCTGCATGAGCCCCTCTGGGTGGATGGCAGGGCAGGGGGCTGAGGCAGTGCAACCCCAGGTCTCTCCCCCTCCCCCACCACCCACTCTGACGCATGTATGCAATTGTTCTCTAAAGCCTTGGCACCAGCTTCACACTGGCAGCAACTGCACACATGCCTTGGGGCACAGGGCGGTGGAGAGGCCTGAGGCAGGGCATGCATGCATGCCTCTGGGTGGACAGTGGTGGAGGGACTGGGGGTTGTGCTGCCTCAGGTCCCTCCCCAGTCCTCTCCCCAGAGGGGTGCACACAGCTGCTGCTGGCCTAAAGCCCAACTGGGGCTCTGGAGCCCAAAGGGGCAGCACTAACTGAGGTGACCATCCCAGGCCCCACACTTTGGGGGGCCCCACAGTCAGTGCCATATAGACCCCGCCATGTGCCACCACTGCTGATTGCCGCCAGCTCTGCCACTGCCAAGCACTACCGGCTCCGGCCACTCACCACCCCCAACCCCCTTGGGTCCCATACAGGCTGATATGCCCCAGGCCCTGCACACCCCTAGGGACAGCTTTGGCAACACTAGAGGGGGCTATAGACACCCCTCCAGTGCCGCCCGGGCTGCCACCACCCGCCCTGTGCAGCTGAGCTTGCTCCACTCCTACCCACAGCACAGCTCTCCCTGAGCCCCTCCACTGGGAGGAGGCTGCCACCACCCCTGCAGCCAGCCCAGGCTCTGGGTAGCTGCTGCCAGCCACGGAGCTCAGGCTGCTTGCAGCAGGGCTTGCAGCCTCCCAGCCACCTGCTGGGAGCAGCCCGGGTTGCATGGCTGGCAGCAGCTGCCCAGATCCTGGGCCAGACGTTATATGCCAGGCAAAACGGCCTTGCATGCTCTGGCATGTGCACCACGAGTTGCCAATCCCTGTGCTAGACTTTTCCAACAAAGCCAAAAAATTGCAAGATCCACCCCCCCCCCGTTAGAGTCCTAACTAGTGTTAGGGACCAATATTCTGTGGGAAGGTCATATATGCTTTCCTGGAGAAGGTTTTTTCAGGAACATGTATGTGGATTCTTAGTTTAAGTCCTTTGGTTTGGGCACCCTATTTGACTCACCAACTGAAGATTCTGCGTAGCCTTTCTTGGGAAACTGGGCTGACATGAATGAACCATCAGCCTCCTCAGAAAGTGTTTCTTTCCCTAAAGTCCTTGTTTGTTTGTAAGGACTCTCTGGAACCAGGCTCTGGCATAATTCACCTCCACTTCAAATTCAACTTAGCTTTTTATGAAGTCTGATGATCCATTGACATTCATAATTTATATTAAGATACAGGTAGATGTCCCAGACAGGCATCAAGAGTCTGTCATGTCCGCCAGTGCACATGTACACATACTACTATAGCAACTTGAGATGAAGCCTGAAAAACAACCTCTAGCTACAGTTAATCACCAGGTTTCCTACCTTATCTTTGATCTTGCGCCATGGAAGTTGGCCAACTGCAAACTCCACTAACATGTAAAAGAGGGACCACAGGTCATCATGTCTACCCATCTCCTGGAGAAGATAAGAGACAAAGTAAAGTGAAACAGCATCTTTGCTGCTGCTCAGTGTTTGTATTCTCCAGTGATGAGCCTCCTTGTTTATCAAGTGGAGAGGGTAACATCTATGGGATGTGTCAATTCCATTTTCAACATAATTACAGAAAGTGGTTAGATACTATTGAGGCTGCAAAGTCAAGCACTCAAAATCAGGAAATGCCATAATGAAAACTGTCTATGCATCCTTAATTCCTCTCCCTGGCACAGATGCATTATAAATGGTCTTTAATATATGATTATGTGCTTGTTTTTCACAGGGTCCCTCTCACTCAGTGCACAGGACGGACAGCACTGCATGACTGGACAATTGTTTCGGGGGTTTTTTAATTCTTATTAGAAATAAACATAAAAATAAAGTTCTAGAGAACAGCTCTGAGTGCTCTTCAGAATGCAATGTAAATTCCCAAGGTAAAGACAATCTAAGCCCACTTCTGACACTGACTCCTTCCATGACCTTCGGCAAATCAATTAACTGATCTGTATCAGTTTTCCAGTCTCTAAGAAGGGATAATGTCAACCTATATACTTTAGCCCTGAGAAAGGGCACTTTGTGCTTGGTAGCTTGTCTAAAATCTCTCCCAGATATACAGCTGATCCAATAAAAGATGCCACCAGAAAAGCCTTGCTCCTTGTAATCTATACAATTCTGGGAGGAATTGTAAAGGATTCATACCTGTTGGTTATGTACTGAGAAATTTAAGGACCAAATCCTGTTTTACCTTTATGTGTCACATGAGTGCCATTTTTGGCATTTACACAGATTTTAGATTCTATTCCCCCTTGTGTAGTCATGTTTGTCCTGCTCTTCCCTTCTGAAGGCTATACTCAGAAGGCTACACTATGGCTCAGAAGGCTACAAGGGTTTCAAGGTGGAATAGAATAAACAGGGTATATGTATAAATTCATGTCCCTGAAAGCACAGTCCAAGAGAAACCACAAATAATTACTGTTTGGCAGCAGCTTAGGAGGATCTCCAATTTTGCCCGGTGATTAAGGAATTTTCCCAGGGAGTTGGAGATGCAGGTTCTGCCAGGTCCCCTCTACACCCCCCCACCCCCACCCCCACCCAAAGGGCTTTGAATCTTCATCTCTCACTTCTTAGCAAATTGCTCTAACCACTACGCTATGGTCAGATTAACATGGCTAACTACCTCTCTCAGGACAGGGTGGCAAACCTGCAGCACAGGTGCCACAAGTTGCACAGGCAGCCTCTGTGTGGGGAGGGACTGGCAGCACAATGGCAGATACAGCAGGAAGCAGAATCCAAAGCAGCAGATCAGGTAGGGAGCACAGGGCAAAGAGCAGAAAGCCAAGCAGCAAATCAGGTAAGGGAAAGGGACTGGATTGGACTTGGGGAGGGTGCAGGGCTAATTTGTGGCCCCCACAAGTTCAGACATTGCACAGAGTCTAGCCCTCCTCTAGAAAGGCATCCAAAAGGTGAAGATAGGGAGTGCCAGGAGAAGAGGAAAATAGAGGTTGTATGGTTCAGTAAGATAGACACTGCCCTGGAAGGCAGGGTACATGGCTTCTAATCCCTGTCCCCAGTGACTTCTCTGCATCTTGCATTTAATATTTGGTGGGTGAAATGGATAAGCAGCAGCAGGATGCTTTTTGCCACACTGAGGATCCTCTTTTCTTCAGGCATTTACCTGTGTGCCTGGGCAATTCTATTCTGCCACATGGGGAAACAGAACCTCAACTCTGAGAATGCCAAATGATGCCTTTACAAGATGACCAAATATCATTTAGGTGCATAAAGGCAGAATAGGATTTGGCTCAAAAAGTCAATATCAATGCTAAGCAATAACACTTGCAGGAGAAACTCTTCCTAAAAAGGCAACAGCACTTGGAGGCTGAAGTCTGGAGGGAGCCATAAGAGAGTGGCAGCAAGAGCATGGCATCAGAAGCCAAATGGCTTTATATGATGGGGTTCAAGAAACAGAAGATATTTACTATCTAAATAGAAAGTATTTTTAAAATATTTACATATGATATTTATGAATTGAAGAAAGATGAGATCTCCATGGAGAGTTTGGGATGAAAGAGTCCAGACATTCTTCATAAGTAACATCTGTCCTTAGAGGAGAATCTGATTTGTATAAATTACCCTTCACCCTGGGCCATGCTTCAACCTTCAGGTGGACAGGGGGCTCTAGGGAGTCAGCTGTTGTGCAGAACAGATCAGGATTCTACTGGGAAGCAGACATAGTGCACAGGAACCTGACAGTGACAGTGGGCACTTTTACACATGCTCCAGGGGTGAGGAGTGTTTAATGAGAGTGGCTCCAAGAGTCGCTCTAATTAAAGCACCACAGCATCTCATTTATCAATGTATCAGCATAATTATAGTGTGTCAGAGCAGCTGCCATACTCATTTACAGGCACCCAGTGATATCAGTTTCTCTTGGATTTTTAAAACTTGATTTTTATTTTTTCTTAATAATGGAGCATGATAATTACCAAATGTGAGACTTTGACTAGAGAAAAGCCAACAGCAAGAATATATTTTTACATTGGCAATCAATAGTTTTACACTTTCACTACAGTTTTTAGATACATCAACTTGTTTTAGGCAATAAGTCAGAAGTCACATCAAACTAAACCTAAACATCAATCCACTTTCACCACTAAAGAGCACAGAACTTAACAGCTACTGGGGAGAATGAACTCTGTCTTTTAAACCCTTAAATAGCTGAGATACTCACTCGATTTTTGTGTGCATTCACTGAAGCATAGCGGACTGTTCCCCGAAAACCAGCAACATTGCGAGGCTGTAGGGAGACAATAAATAATCTCAGAAACAAAGCAGTGTTGCAGAATCCAGAGTATAACAAACTTTTAAAGACTTTCCAGCTATACCTTTACTAATCCATCAAATGCTAAACTCTTCTTGAAAGCCATTTCTGTGCTCTAGTGGCTACATAAACACACAATGCATTTTTTAGCCCCATATTTAACCACTAATCTGCACTGAGAGCAAGGTACTGGTCATTATTACAGGGCAGCTAGAGCAAAAGAGATGTCAGCATTTTTCAGGTTTCTACCTTCATGAATAAACTTCACCTGCAATGGCAAGTTAGTACAGAAGTTCAGGAATAACATTCCTTTTTGTACAAGATGCTTTACTGTGCAGTAAAACTAATTACTGCATAGTAAGTGTCACCATCTACACATGCTGACCCTTACTGTGCAGTAATTTCCTCTACTCAGCAGTTAATTTGCTACCTGCAAATGCAAGCAGCAAATTAACTGCCAAATAATTACGGCATAGTACAGCACATGAAGATGGCTGACCGGGAGAAAATTTGCGGGAGGGGGCAGGAGATTACTCCTTGCCTCTGGGAGCTGTCTGCTGCCGGGCTGGCTCTGGTGGCAGAGCCCAGGTGGAAACAATGTCCCCCTGTCCCGGCAGCAGGGAGCTCACAGCCCCTGCTCCACAATCGCAGAGTGGCGGCTGGGAGTTCCCTGCACAGGGAGAGTTCCCCGCCCAGTCTGGACCTGTCTGGGACCTGCCCCTGACTGGGACAGTTCCCAGCCAGCCCCAGACAGTGCAGGGAAGTCTGCATGTGCTGTGGCTATCCTGCCCAGTCAGGAGCTCACTGCTAGCTGCCTCACTGGCAGATTGGGGCAGGGGGCTAAGACCTGTCCCTCCCTCACAGCTCTTTCCAATCCCCCTTCCACTGATTGGGCAGCTGGGATGAGAAGCTCCCTGCTGCTTGGGCAGCACGACATTGTCCCTGTCTGGGCTCCCCCACCGGAGCCTACCCCAGCAGCAGACAGCTCCCAGGGGCAGGGAACTATCTCCTGGCCCCATGCCCCCTGCCAGCCCCTGGGCTAACACCCAGGTGGAGCTTAGAGATCAACCTGGATGCTGCTGGGGGCCACAGTAGGTGGGGGCAGAGCGCTGTCAGGAACAGCAAATTTGGTGCCAAATCCTCACATGTGTAGACACCTGCTCTTGGTGGGTTTACTCGAGAATAATTTATTCTAGAATAAACACACCCCACAGCATTTGCACATGTAGATGCACCTACTGAGAAATGAATTGGTATGAGGTAAACTAAGTCTGTTCAGGGCAAGAGTAGTGGATTGCTCTTCTGAAATACTGCCAATGAACAGATGCTCCTGCTGACCTTGTCCAGTATCTCCTCACAAATTAGTCAATACCTTCTGCAAATGTCTTACATGCCTCACACATCTCCATTCCTCCTCCTCTTAATAAAAAATGGTCCCATCCTTTAAGACTGTGAATCTGGATAGAACACCACACTAGAGAATGTCCCAGAGCCAAGAAGATGGATTGGACTGGATCTATCAGATTACTCCCATCTCAGTTGTCTTCCCTGGACTTCTAGCTGCTCAAATCCTCTCATTTCTCCCATGTGGCTCCTGTCATTATTGTATCTGAGGGTGCCTACAGATGTTCAGGGTCTCACTGTAACTCACAGCACTTTACATAAAGTGCCATGAGTTAGAGCTCCCACAACCATGAGTTAGAGCCCCCACCTGCCTATTGGGTTGGGAGAAGGGCTGGAGCCTGCCTGCACTGGCACTAGTCATCAGGCAGGGTTGCTCCCACAACGTCTGAGGAGGCTGCTGAACTACCCCTCTCCCCAGCTCTGCTCCCCCACCCTCCCCAGCTCCAGGTCTGTCAGCGGGGGAAGGAGGAGGAGGGAGAGTGACAGCACAAAGTTGCTAGCTGCTTTGAATGGCCAGATGGGGGGTGGGCAACGGGGCGGGGTGGAACAGAGCTCCCTTGCTTCATGAAAAGTTAACCCTGAGTGCCTATACTACAGCTTCCTGGTACCCTACCTATTCCCTGCTACCTAAGCTGGCTATCTAAAAACCATCTCTGCCTCAGAACAGGCACACAGCCCTCACCACCTGATGTGATCCACAAGAAAGGTCAGAATTAAACAAATGAAAACACTTTGATGAAAACTCGTCCAAGATGAGTAGGGGAACTAGGCATCCAAGATGAGTGGTAGTTCCTTAAGGAGATGATTCTCCGAGCCCAAGGGGTGACAGTCCCAATGTGAGTCAATGGGGGCAAGAGTGCTCAAAAGCCCCCTTGGCTCACCAAAAGCATCCAGGAATGTAGCCAAAAAGTGGAAGTGGAAGGGAGGGGCTATCACCAAAGAGGATTATACCTCCATCACTCAAGTCTGTAGGGAGGCTGTTAGGAAGGCTAAGGCAGAGACAGAACTAGGGCTAGCAACAAGGATCAAGGACAACAAAAACTCCTTTTCTAAATACACAGGGAGTAAAAAGAAGGCACCAGGCAACATGGGGCCCCTGCAGGATATGCTTGGCAATCTAGTAGTTGCACCAGATGAAAAAGCAGACCTTTTTAACAAACCCTTTGCCTCCATTTTTCTGAGCAGGGAGACATCTCCCCCACCAGGATTCAGGACAGGGACATCTCCCCCACTGGGATTCAGGACAGACTCAGGAGAGACTCCGCCAGGCCTAGGGTTAGGGAGGACTGAGTTAGGGAACTTATGGAGAGGCTGGACGTGTTCAAATCAGCAGTTCCAGATGCTCTCCACCCCAGGGTGCTGAAGGAATTGGCAGGGGTCATTGCGGGTTCCCTGGCACGGCTTTACAAGCACTCGTGCTGCTCTGGCCAGGTGCCAGAGGACTGGAAGAGGGCCAGTGTGGTCCGCATTTTCAAAAAAGGGAGGAGGAAGGATCCAGGAAACTATAGGCCTGTTAGTCTTACCTCGGTCCTGGGGAAACCTTTTGAGAAAATTGTCCTGGTGCAAGTCCATGAGGGGCCAGCAGGGGAGACTATGTTTAGGGGCAACCAACATGGGTTCATCAGAGGCAGGTCCTGTCAGACCAACCTGGTGGCCTTCTATGATCAAGTCACTAAATCCTTAGATGCAGGCGTCACGGTGGACATAGTCTTTCTGAACTTTAGAAAAGCCTTCAACACTGTCTCTCACCCCATTCTCATTAAAAAATTAGGTGACTGTGGTGTCAATCCCTACAGGGTCAGATGGGTCGCCAATTGGCTGGAAGGCCGTACCCAGAGAGTGGTGGTGGACAGGTCTTTTTTGACCTGGAAGGATGTGGGCAGTGGGGTTCCACAGGGCTCGGTCCTTGGGCCTGCACTGTTCAACATCTTCATCAGAGACTTGGACGAGGGGGTGAATAACACCTTGTTCAAATTCACAGATGACACTAAGATACGGAGGGAGGTGGGCACGTTACAGGGGAGGGACAAGCTGCAATCAGGTTGCAGAGGTGGGTGGATGAGAATAGGATGGGTTTCAACACTGACAAGTGCAAGGTACTGCACCTGGGGAGGAATAACCAGCAGCACACCTACAGGCTGGGGAACTCCCCTCTCGCCAGCAGAGGCAGAAAAGGATCTTGGAGTCATTATTGACTCAAAGATGAACATGGGCTGCCAATGTGGGGATGCAGTCAGAAAGGCTAACCGCACCTTGTCATGCATCCACAGATGCATCACGAGCAGGTCCAAGGAGGTGATCCTCCCCCTCTATGCGACCTTGGTCAGGCCCCAGTTGGAGTACTGCATCCAGTTCTGGGCACTGCACTTCAGGAGGGATGTGGACAACATTGAGAGGGTCCAGAGGAGGGCCACTCGCATGATCAGGGGGCAGCAGGGCAGGTCCTATGAGGATAGGCTATGGGATCTGAACCTGTTCAGCCTCCACAAAAGGAGGCTGAGAAGGGATCTAGTGGCCATCTACAAACTTACCAGGGGGGACCAAAGGGGAATGGGTGAGACCCTGTCCTCCCAGAGTAACAAGGAATAACGGCCACAAGTTGATTGAGAGTAGGTTCAGGCTAGACATTAGGAGGCACTACTTCACAGTCAGGGCAGCCAGGATCTGGAACCAGCTTCCAAGGGAAGTGGTGCTGGCTCCAACCTTAGGGGGTCTTTAAAAGGAGGCTTGATAATTACCCAGCTGGGGTCATATGAGCTTAATCTTATCAGGGGTCATATGAGCCCAGTATTCATTCCTGCCCAGGGCAGGGGGATCGGACTTGATGATCTGCTCAGGTCCCTTCCAACCCTACATCTATGAACCTATGATGTTCTCCTCTTTTGCCTCCTTGGATCTAACTGTATTCTCCATTTTCTTGTGCCCTTTCCACAAATGCTCCCCAAGAGACAGGGGGCTTGATATAGTTGCCTTGAGAACAAGCCAGCCCTGCCACTGGCATTCATTAGAGGGGATTTGTTCCCTTGATGCAGAGACTATAACCAGGGATCCAGGATTTCCATTTCCCATGGAAAAACAGAGAAAAACACAGATTTCCCCCTTTACATGAGGAAAATGTGGATTTCTCCTTTTAACGGAAAAACCCATGAATTTTGCAAATTTTGCAAAGACCTCTTCAGGCTGGCAGAGTTCCAGCCTGCAAGGGGCTGGGGAGGAGCAGGAAGAGGGCTGCTAGGCAAGGGGCACCATGTGCATGTATATACAGATGGCCGCTAGGCAGCCTAGAGAGCAGCTTTCACAGGTAAGTTGGTAGGAGAGGGGTGAGACTGAGGCTCCCATAGGGAGGGAGGGAATGGGTTGGGCAGGGCAGGGGCTGGGGCTGCTTCCTAGGCAGGGGGATGCATGAGGCTTGAGGTCTGGGGCCAGTTCACGCAGTCGTAGGGCTCTGGCAGGGAGGGGGATGGAGCCAACAGGCAAATCGTCCAGGGGGCAGGGCTGGCTCCCCACCACTCCGCACTCCCAGGGGGCAGGGGAGACCCATGCCCTTCAGATCTGTGCGTGGGGCAGGGGTG